GGGAGAGCCGTGAAAGATAAGAACTTTGTTGTGAAAAATGAGATCATCAGAAAAACTTATTGTCATACAGATAGAATTTCGAATATACCCGCGTGTAGACGATTGAAACAGACGAGCCGAAATAAAAACACAAAAGGTGTGAGTCGGAAAAATTCCCGCGAAGTCGTGTTCTCCATCTCAAGCCGTTTAGGGAATTCCAGTTACCCCGCTGCTCAGAGAAAAACAACAGGTTATGGGCTCTGCTCATTTCTGCAGCGTACAAGAACGGCTCTGAAGGTAGGAACACGTTAACAAGGAGGAATTCGATTTTCATCTGATGAGCACAGGCCTGCCGACGGATGAACTGTCCGTTATCAGGCGGATGCGGATGTGTACCGGTTTGCTTCTTGACGGTGAGCTCTGGCGATATGGATAGATTTATCCTGGCCGGGCAATTTCCCCTCCGCTGTTTGACGCATCGACAGTATGTGGTTTCGGCCGTCGCTTTCTCTTTCTCGTACAGGTAGTGGTCCACGAATAACCGGGGTTTGCCTTTTGCTGAGCTGACTTCCTGGATAGCCATGACTCAACAAAGTGCGTCAGAATGACCCGGAGAGAAGGGACCGGACGAGGATTCAAGCACAATGTCGCTCGCGAAGATCTCTACAGACAGACACCGGAGAGCGACTCGGGAATCAAAACAAAGGGAACAGTGAAGCTCAGACGTGGGGTGTTCTCGATTAACACTCTCACTCGAACTCGCCGGGACGGAGAAGGAAAAGGAAAAAGGAAACCTACTGGAGGGTATCGATTCCGACGCAATCGACGCGAGATACGTCGCGGGTTTCAAACTCTCAGCGTGGGGACAAAAGACACGTGCTTCACGGGAGAACTTTTATTCACCCTCGTCTAGTCCGGAGGCTCACAGCTATACTTTCACGAGCACAGCGTGTCAAAAAAATACGATGGTTGCAATCAGCTGCAGCGATGACTCCCAACTCGACGTATTGGAGAAGAAAAACGTATCTCACCGGAGATCCCAGAATAGCGCAACGATCCCTGTCGACGGAGCGTGATGTGAGACACGTATCACTTGTCTCAGGTCCATTCTGGCCCTAACAATTCTGGCTTTGGAAGTTCTGGCTTTCACAACAGCTGGCTTTCGAAATTCTGGCTTTCGCAACATCGTGCTTTCGGAATTTTGGCTTCCACAACTTCTGGCTTCCGCGATTCTGGCTTTCGCAACTTCTGGCTTCCACAATTCTGGCTTCTGGGACGGTACCAGAAAGTCGGAGCTCTCTCGAGATGAAGATGCAAGGGGTCGAGGGCGATCGAGAGGATCAGTGTGTTTTTGGAGGGTCAAATGGAACGATCGTCAGTCCTCAGAAGAGTCGCGAAGCTCTCAAGACGGGGGACGACGCCGACGGATCGAAATGTGGAGTCGAAGAAGTACAGAAAAGTACGGCAGAAGAATCAAGAGAGGGGAGACAGGATCCCGGCGAATATGGAACCCAAATGGAAGACTGGACAACGGAGAGTGCAACCGGGATGAGTGAGAAGGAAGATCAAGTGTGTGGAGGAGATGAGAATTTCCTGTCTCCGGAAAAACCCCCTTCTGAGGTGATGGAAGTCAGAAGAAGCACGAGGGATCGTCATCCACCGAAACGCGTTTGCTTTCCATCCGCTCTCCTCTCCCCATGCCCCGAAACGTACAACGAGGCATTGCACAGTCAGCAGAAGAAGAAGTGGTTGGCAGCTATGATAGAAGAGATGGCATCTATTCACGAGAACGAAACATGGGAGCTAGTGATGAGACCGTCAAACGTGAAGGTTCTAGAGAACAGATGGGTACTTCGGACGAAAGAGACTCAGCACGGGAAGAAATTCAAAGCCAGGCTCGTGGCAAAGGGAAATTACCATAAAGAAGGAAAAGACTTTGACGAAACATGCCAGTCGCGAGGTATGGAACCGTCCGGCTCCCCCTGTCCATCGCCGCTTCGAAAAAGATGTGCCGCCGGCAGTTCGATTTCCAGACCGCGTATCTATACGGAACCCTGTCGGAGCGAGTTTACATGCTCCAACCGGCGGGCTTCCAGGATGGAACCGACAGGGTCTGCTTGCTCAAGCGTGGAACCAGCGCTCTGTGAAGTTCATGGTCAAGCTCGGTTTTAGAAAGAGCCACGCGGACCCATGTCTGTTTTTCAAACACGAAACGACTGGGAGCATCTTCGTCACGGTGTACGTCGACGATGAGCTGGTGGTGAGCACAGAGGACTCAAAATGCGACGATTTCTTGGGCCTACTCAGAGAAGAATTCAAGATAACGGAGGGCGACGCTAACAGTCATCTTGGAATTCAGATAGAACGACGATCACCGGGCTCCATCTCCATAAGCCAACCCAATTACATCGATAAGATCCTCACGAAATTCCAGATGCAGGACTGCAACTCAGTGAGCACCCCAGCGGGGAAAGGAGAAGTCAGCACAGAAGAACCGCTGTCGGAGACAACGCTATACCAGACCGCGGTAGGGTGCCTCTTGTACCTCGCCAAAGCGTCACGTCCTGACATTGCCTACGCAGTTGGTAAAGTCGCGAGGAAAATGGAGAAACCGGCCAAGAGTGATTGGAACGACGTCCTTCAAATCACGAAGTACCTGCGTGCCACGAAGGATTTCGGAATCCTTCACGGAAGTGACTCGAGCCTGAGGGTGTACAGCGACGCCGATTATGCTGGATGTAAGAAATCTCGACGCTCCACAACAGGAAATATCGCCACGTACGGCGGAGGAGCGGTTTCCTGGAGAAGCCAGTCACAACGCGTTGTCAACGACTGAAGCAGAGCTAACGGCAGCGAGCTAAGGACCTTCTATGGTTGGAACAGATGGTCCTCGAGTTGTAGAGACAGGATCTGAAGCCGAAGCTCTTCGTAGATGACGCCAGCGCTGTGAAGTTGGCTAAGAATCCCGAGTTTCACTCACGACTCAAACATATCCATGTTAGATACATGTTCGTGAGAGAGGAATTCTTAGAGAATATTTTGGAAATCGAGCACATAGACGGCGTCAACCAACTGGATGACATTTGAACGAAAGCCGCGCTGTAAAATAATTTTCCGCGCTGTAAAAACTGAGCAGGCGCTGTCTATCTTCAGTACATGTGTAAGCGCTGATATCTTCCGTTCCGACAACCTGGTGCAACTCTCGCAAAGTTTTCACCTCTCTCGGTCTTCCCGAAGCAGCGTGGCGTTGAGCAGATCGAAAACCAGGAGAGGATTCAGCTTCGTTTTCAGGATTGATCAAACTGCTCTTAGCTGCGTTTATTTATATACGGAAAACTTCTCAAGGGAACACCAACACACTCCAACAGAGAAACCCTCACCTTCGGCGACTCGATAAGGTTCCCCGCATTCCCGGTTCCCCGCATTCCCGTTTCCCCGCATTCCCGTTTCCCCGCATTCCCGTGTCCCCGCATTCCCGTTTCCCCGCATTCCCGTTTCCCCGTGCCCCCGCTTTCAGTCCATACGCTCTTCGGGAAATCCATACCCTCCACGGCTGAAGCGTCCGGAGGGCCGGCGCGCTATTTGGTCTGCATCCACACCAACACTCACGCACGGACACACGATTCACGAGAGACGAGTTGACGGAATCGAGCGAAGTGATAACGTATCTCACTACGTTCTATATCAGAGCACGATGCATGTTAGTGTTCAGAGCATGATATATCGGCTCAAGGGTTCATGGTTATTTGAGCGCGGATTGATCTGAGCGCATGATCGATTTGAGCGCAAAATTGATCTGAGCGCAGAATCGATTTGAGCTCATGATTGATCCAGGCGCAATTGATCTGAGCGCGATTGATTTGAGCGAAATTGATTTGAGCGCAAATGATTTGCGCGAATATGATTTGCGCGAAATTGATTCGAGCGAAATGGATTTTAGCGGAATGGATTTGAGCGCATGGTTGATTTAAGCGCAGAGTTGATTTGAGCGCATAGTCGATTTCAGCGCAAAGCTGATTTGAGCGCGTGATCGAATTGAGCGCAGACTCTCGAGGCGCTGCTTGGAGAGTGTGGCTCGGCTATAAACCTGAGTTCCCACTCAATCTTTAATCTATCTATCTATATATATAAAAACGTATGTCTGTCTGTTTGTCTGTCTGTTTGTCTGTCTGTTTGTCTGTCTGTTTGTCTGGTGTCACCTGTTGTCAATGGTGCGTGCACATTAAATGAAGAGAAAACAAGTCCAGTCTCCAGTATGCGGCTACGGCCGGCATCAGCGTTTTTACTGACTGCTTTATTGTAAACACAGCATTCGTCTGATTTCTAAAGGTCTCCTCGTGGGACCTTCTGGAAGAGTCGCGGGCGTTGGTAACAATCTCCCGGGGTTAGCCGTTTTCGGATGACCTATTAGTGCTCGCGACTTTAGACATCATAGTATAATTCATAACAACTCTATCAGAGTATAACAAAGGTATAACTTCACATATTGCTTCCCAAGTATGTTGATTAACATGGGTAGATAACATTCGAGTATCGATACAGATCAGGTACTGATTCAGATCAGCCTGTAGATATGTTGCAACGCTCTTGTTAGAATCCCATTCTGCGTCTTGACTCTGCATGATCTTACAACCTTGTCCTTGCCCGGTGGGAGTTCAACCACTCTGCCTAACCTCCATCGAGCACGTTCTAATTTCGGTTCATGTATCAAAACGATGTCATCGAGGGCGAGCGGCGAGCTGTCTCGAACGCGTCCCTTTCATGGGCAGATCTCAACATTAAAAAATATTCATTCCTCCATCTCATCCAGAAATCGTTTAGCAACTTTTCTCGAATACGCCAAAATCTTGTCAGTGTGTCGTCTTTTTCGCCCTTGGACTTTACGGAGCCCTTGGGGAGACTGAGTGAGTTTGCACCGGTGATGAAATGAGCAGGTGTCAGCGCTCCCGGAAGGGAGGGATTTTCTGGTAAGACGATTAGAGGTCTCGAATTTATAATTGCTTCAATTTCCTTGATCGCTGTCATGAACCGAATAGAGAGAGCACAGCCCCGTTGAGCGTCTTGCGCATGCAATCTTTAGTCACCCGAACCAATCTTTCAAACTGTCCTCCCCACCACGCTGCTCGGGGAACATTAAAGGACCACTGGAAGCCTCGAACGCTCATGAACTCCTGGACCTGAGCTGACCGAAGGTTTTCCCAGAGGCATCTCAAACCCCTCGCCGAGCGCACGAAATTGGAACCATTGTCTGAGATTATTCTGGCCGGCAAACCGCGCGTGGCAACGAATCGTTTCAGAGCCTGCAGGAATGCCTCGGCTGAATAGTCTTCAACGACCTCAAAGTGGACACCTCGAGTAACAGAACATGTGAAAAGACAGATCCACACTTTCCCACTGCGGATTTCGAAGGGGCCAAGGTAATCGATCCCAACGTTCCTGAACACCCCACCCGATTCTGTTCGGGGGGCCGGTAGTGGAGCCTGCGGAGCCCCGGACGGTTTGGCCGTATACCTTTTGCATCTCACGCAACGACCGATTACTTTTTTGACCTGGCGCCTAGCTTGGAGAATCCAAAATTCCTGTCGGAGATTCGCCAGAACCATGTCAGTACGAAGGTGAGAAAGTTGGTTTTCGTGGAGATCTCGTATCACCAGCGTCGTGAACCAGTCTTCCGACAGCACGATTGGGTGTTTCAACGCCTCATCTCCCTCGAAGTTCTCCAATCTTCCCCCCAGACGTAACAAGTCGGCAGAATCGAAATACGCACCAAGGCTAGTGAGCGCCCGACTCTCCGCGACACTCCGACTCAAGGCTACCTCCCGGAAGCAACGCTGTTGCGCCTCCCGTGTAAGGTGTTGCTTCGCCAATTTGAGCTCGAGTGCCGTTATCGGCCGGCGCGTTATGGAGTCTGACGGAACACCTTTGCCGAACAATTTGACTTTCTGAGAAGCCAATTCTTTGGACTTCCTTGTCCTGGCATTTTTTTGATACCAGCGGAGCTGGAAGATCGCTATAGCTCGAAAAATCGTCGCCGTTACCCTGATCGCTCTTCTTAGCGTGGAGTATCTTTCGATTGGAATGACCGAATTCTTTTCCTTGACCTCGACCTGAGTTGCCGTTGCAACAAACACTTCTACCTCTGTGGAATGGACTTCGGGATAGATTTCTGATTTTAGAAAAGCGGGTCCGTTGAGCCAGGACGGTTCCTTGAGTAGTTTCTCCATTGACATGCCGCGTGACGGATAGTCTGCCGGATTCTCGACTCCGGGGACATGCCGCCATTCCAACGGTTTTGTCAACTTGGAAATCTCAATTAGCCTGTTCCGAACGAACACCTCATACTTCAATGGACAGTCTCTTCTGATCCAATAGTAGACATTCATAGAGTCCGTCCAGTAGAACGTCTCACAACTTAGATTCAGGAACTTTTTTATGGATGCTGCCAGCCGCGCCGCACACATAGCCGCCACAAGCTCCTTCTTTGGAATCGTTAGAGAGCTTAGAGATTTGAGAGGCGTCATTCGAGCCTTCGAAGCTACGAGCACGACAGCGCGCTCATCCGAGTTTGGATTCCACGACTTGAGATAGACTACGGCGGCGTACGCCGAATCGCTCGCGTCGGCGAATGTGTGCAGCTCCAGTTTCACAGCTCTGAATCCCTTCGTGAAACACCTTGGAATTTGGAACCTACTGATGAATGGAAGCTGATCACACCACTTTTTCCAACCGTCGAGAATTTCGCCTTGAAAGGCTTTATCGAGACCCAGTTTTTGGAGATGAACCTTCTGAATCAACAATTTTATCTGCATCACGAAAGGTGAAAGGAAGCCTGTCGGATCATACAACCTTGCGGCCGCACCCAGCAGTGTTCGCTTCGTTGGTTTGGCGGCGGCGACGAACTCGATCAAGTTTGCGGGATCGAATGTCAGAGCGTCGGTTTCGTTGTTCCAAACAACACCGAGCACTTTTTCTGGCATCTGCGACCCGAGAATGACCTGTGAGTTGTCATCGCAGCTTTCCTCCGAAAAACGCCATTTTCGCATTACCATGGCAGCCTTACCAAGAATGTAGGAGATATCGGACTGGATTTCCCTCGCTTCTTCAATGGAGTCAGCCCCCGTTACGAGGTCGTCCATGTAGAGGTCCTCCATCAATGCCTTGGATGCTCCCGGGTGGGAGTTTTGGAAATTGTTTGCATGCATTCGGATAACTGAGATGACGTTGAACTGAGCGTCCTTGACGCCAAAACAGTTTCGATTCATGCGGTACACTTTGAGATTCGAAGCGTCTCCGTTTCTGGACCACAGGAAACACTGGAAATTTCTCATCTCCGGTTTTACGCCGATCGTGAGGTACGCCTTCGTGATATCACCGACGAACGCGATCTCACGGACTCTAAACTTGGACAACATTTCGACAGAAGTTGGAAGCAAATTTGGAACCTCGAGAATGACATCGTTGAGGGAGAGTTGACCTTTCATCTTTGACGACGCATTGAATACCGGTCGGACCTTGTAGGATACCTTGGATTCATTGACCACCGGGAAGTGTGGCATGAAATACCTAGGTTTTTCCCCCAGGGGCACCGGCTCGGCGTAACCAGAATCGAAAAACACATTCATCTGTTTGATGTACTCTTCTCGGAGACTCGGCTTTTGATCCAATGATTTCAGCAGCTTGTGAGCTTGTTGCTTCGCTGCTGGGAAGTTATCTGTGAGATACTCAAGTTTTCTTGAGTCCAGGTTGAGAATCGTGCTGTACATTCCGTCCTTAAATTCAACGGTTTTTAGAAAGTCTTGAATGAAAGTCTCCGAGATTTTTCCATCAACAGTGTGCTCCTCCGGTAGGATTCCGATGTGCTCGAGTTCCCAAAACTTTTCAATGTTTACGGGGAAAGCTGCCCCTGAATCGGAGGCAGGCTTGTTTTCGCTCACTGGAACTTGTCCGAAGATTGTGTCGAGATAGGACACGCTCTCCGTGAGCTTTTTGTAAGCCACCTTTGATAATTTGAACCATATCGCTGAAGCTGAATAGAATTCCGAGCTTCCTCGGACCCTTTGGATGATCGGATGGATTTTGGAGGCGAGCGCGAATCTCCCCGGACAGCGGCTTCGGTTCTAAATTTGATATTTCCGGTACAACCAGCGCAGTGAACTGCAGCGCTCGATTGTCGCTCGTCAGAACTCCGAACCGAACGATTCTGCATTCGCTCGACTGTGAGACTTGCTCTCCGAATCTGTGCAACAGAAATTTGTCTGAACCGACTACCTCTAGGTTGAGGAGCTCTGCGTACTCTTCTGTAATGAAAGTTGTATTCGCACCGCTGTCCAACAAGAATCGCACTCGCTGAGAACCGTCCGGACCAAGGAGCATTAGGTGGCCGACTGCTGCCAACGTTTCAGCCTGGTTGCTCTGAGCGACAACTGCTGACCTCACGTTGGCACACAACGAACCATGATGGTCTCCCTTGCATTTAATGCACTGTATTTGTGAGGAACATTTATCTTCTAAATGCCCGCTTCTGAGACACTTCGAGCAGAAGCCGGCTCTCGCGAGCTTTTGTTTCTTCAGTTCGATTGATAACTCAGCTTTGCACTTCGCGGGGACATGAGGCTCCTTGCAATATGGACATGCAAACTTGGACTTTGAGGAGGGCGGATTGGCAGGGGTTTCCTTTGGTTTGCTTACTTTCGACTCTGGGGCTGACTCGTCTCTTGATCGAAAGCCTGACTCCGACCTACTCCTCCTAGCCACCTTTCCGAATATTGCACCGTATTGATCTCCTGTTTCGGTTTCTTTCTTAAGAAAATTTCGCAACGTATCTAATCGCGTCTGGAAAAGCTCTGCGAGCTTGACAGTTTCAAGGTCTGTCTCTCTGAGGACATCTTCAACCTCATCGGCTGTTTTCTGCGGTTCGATTTTCTCTATGAAACGATGCGCAAGTCGGTCTGGCAACTTTCGGAGCAGGATCGGATAAAGAAACACAGCAAAGTGGATTGATTTCAATTGCATGGTTTTGAGAGATAGTATGAACCCATTAACTTTATCAAGGTGCGCCCTCAACTGTTTGTTGTCTGCGAACTTGTTAAGTTTTGGCAATTCGAGTAGTTGCGTGAAGATTTCTATTGCGATGGTCTCAACGTTTCCGTATCGGACGAAAAGATAATTCAGAGTTCTAATGTAATTAGCTCCCGTCGATGGAGTACCCT